TATGTATATATATTCAATCAAACACACACAGAAAAAAAAGCTCATCTATGGGAATAATTCAATATTTCAATCAGTTCTAATAACCAATCTGAGCCGAGTCGCTGGTGAAACACTTGAGACCGAAGTGATTCATCTGCTCATTTGTTCAATCTGACCAAATAAATCTCAGCTCTCAGTTTAGAAACAATCCTCTGCTAAATTCATTCATTCATGCTGAAAGTTAGTCTGGGAACGCTTTCAGCCAACGTTAAAACTTCCAAATGAATCTGCTTTAATGCCAGACTACTGCAGCTCTATCCTCAGATGTATCTGTACCTTGCTGCTGCTGCCAGGAGCAGGCAGATCTCCATTACTTTGTCTGAACTTCTCCTGCAGCGTCTCAGCCAGCTGGCACAACAGGAAACCATTGTCTAACTGATCCATGAAGCTCTCGGCAGTGATTTCCAGACCTGAGCGGGGGGGACACATAAAATAAAAACATTCGATATTTTAAAATCCAATCTGGAGTTCATTCTATGTTGAAGCATAAACTTTTTTATTGTTATTCTAATAGCTGCTTTAATGATCAAGCCTGTTGAGTTATGAGAAACTCTCAAAAAGCAGGACTTTAAAATATGAATTTAAGGGGGATTTCCTGGTAGATTAAGCAAAAGGGAAAAAGTGGACACCTAAGACGGGGGCATCAGTTTGTCCATGGTTCTGCCTAATGATCTTGCAGTCACAGGGACGTGCTGAAGATCAACATGTGGTGTCCGGTTGACCAACTTCCAGAGGACCATTCCTTCATGGTGAGGTCATTGTGAAACAGGAGGTGGTGGCAGGGGATAGAAAGGAGGGGGGTGGTGGGGTGTCTGTGGAAAGAAACTTGAGCAATTTCTCTTTTTTTTAATCCCATTTCTGTTTCTTATAATGGGAGGGGGGGGGGTGTTTAATGAGTTCCAAATGTTACGACAGAGCTCAGAAAAGACTGAAATCTTGAGTTCTCGTCTCACATTCAGCACCCCCACACACAAGCACAGGGATCAGAAAGCTTTCAACTCAAATATAGGTTTACTCCATGTCTTTAACCTAAGAAATAAACTTAACTACAATATCAAAGGTCTAGCATTTCTTTATACAATGAATATATCACCTTCCATGACAAAGTTTTAAGCTAGGCTCGTTTTATAAAATGAAGGGACAGAGTTACAGCTGTTTTTGTCAAATCTTGTAAATTACGCGATCTCATTCAAGACATTGCACAAAGTCTTAGCTCACAGGTGTGTTGTGAACAAACTCAGCTACTACCATAAACAATTTAGCTTATCCTTTGTTAAATTAATGAAGTTCTATCTATTTTTGTGTTCATAAAATTCCATTTGAAATAAAATTAGCCCAAATGGAAATCAGCTAGATGCACATCCACGGATTAGATTCTGAACGTTTCATTAAAATTGATCAACTAATTCTTGAGATATTTTGCTACCAGACAAGGTTGAAGTCTGCCAAAGTTTTACGTAAAGATATCACAATGTGTTGTTCTTAAAGTACATGTTGTGAATGACTCACAGCTACAACCACACCAAGATGTAGCTCTATCAATGAAACTGGCTGAGTTATAATCATTTTGAAGTTTCCAGCACTGAGTTGGCTGTGGCAGCCATCTTGAATCAGGTTGACTCCAAACTGTAATCAGCAGTAGACGTACATCCAGTGATCACTTCCTGTAAGTTTAATTCAAATGTGTCAAGAGGATTCTAAACTGAAAATTCCTAGTCTGTGTTTATCACTGACAATGGCAAAAAAGCTCTTTATGATTCCGATAATGAGATGTTTTGCTAACAGACGGTTAGAGCTAACGCTAATGGTTAATGGCAATGTTATAAAAACTTAGCTTTCTCAATTACTTGGCTTTTTAAGTATGTTAGGGAAGACTCTCAGCTACTACCACAACAAATCTCAGCTCAATGGGCCTCATGCAAGAACCGTTCGTACGCACAGATTTGTTCTTAAGTTATGCGTACGAGTGATTTAGGAGAATTTGTGGCATTCACCAATGTTTTCGTTAGGCCTGTCGCGATAGTCAATAAATCAATTAATTGCACGATAACTTTTTTTGAGGTCGGTAAAAAAA